CTAAATGCATGGCTAATGAGTCTAATAATATTTTCAGGGGTGACAGCAATGCTTAGGGAGATCTCAGTGACATCTGCTCCATACCAGCAGGTCATGGAGTATGGACCAGTTCTCTTGTTTTCTTTACCTCTCAGAATTGTGTTCTGACATTTCCCCTGGGGTTTTAATGTGAATTTCTCTCTGTTTAAGGCTGCAGTTCAGATTTACTCTCCCATAAAAGCCTCACTTATATCAGAGAAACAAATGGTCTCGTGTTGCCCTCAGGCTTAGCAAGGCTGGCTGCCTTTCCTGAGGAGCTCCTTCATGGAGCTAAAGAGCCCCTGGAACAGCTGGGTGGCTCTTGCTGAAGTGAGGTGTCAGCCCTGCAGTGGAGTACAGCTGCTGTGGGGATGCTCCTCTGTGCCTTTTATCTCACTGACTTGGGCACTGTTCAGTGCAGATATTTGCCTTGGCTGGGGCTTAGAATAAGGTGTCTGGAGAGATTAAAAAATGACACGAAATAACCTAACTTTTGACATGCCCTTTGAATGAATTGCAGCTGTGAATCTAGGCAAGTTAGCAGGTGAATATGGTTAGAAAAACCGGAGCCTTGCACTCCTGATGCCTTGCCAGTGTGACTCTGGGAGCCTGGCCTCGTGAGGGATGAACTCTTGCCAGAGTCATTGTGGTCTTCTGAAATCTCCTATGAGTGATGAGACTTCTAATAAAGTTATGTTCTCTTTTTAAAAAGAAACTATTGCTGTAATGTTCTTTTGTTCTGAGTCTTAAGGAGGTAACTGAAGTTAGTGCTGAGGAAAACAGGCTTGAGGGTAGCCTAAGTGTGCTAAGGCTGGTGAAGCTCTGGCTCATGCCCTTCATGCAGTTCAGGAAGGACTGAGCTGGTGGGAAAACAAGCACAGACCAAGCCATGTGCTCTGGAGCTCAGGCTTGAGATGTGAAGCATATAGCTGAGGGTCAGCTAAAGCTCAGATTTGTGACTACTGTACCCATATCCTGCCTTGCCAATGAGTCATGGTCAGTGTGGCAGGGAACTTAAGAATGGGGCATTAAACTGAGGTGTTTGCTCTTGATGGATGCAAGGTCACAGGGTACCTTAGATTATAGTCATGGCCAACATCCCAGGTTGGCTTTTCTCCTCTGCAGCACCAGTGCCTCTGTTGCTGCATTTCATCCTAGGAATGACCAATTCAGAAGGCTTGGGTTGCAAGGTGGTTTGTTTATACTATCTTTGGAGAAGCAATTTGAAGCATGCAAACACTGCTGAGTGGCTGTTTCCCTTTGTGCATCTGCTGCTGCTGGGCCAGGACTCTGCTGTCTGGAGTGAAGGTGTGCCTGGGCTTGGCTTCCACCAGGAAAACTCTTCCTTCAGCTGAGGGACAGTAACCCAGTGCACCCAGCTTGCTTGCAAAACTGCACTGATGGTAGTTATCCTGTGAGATTTGAAGCAAAGCAAGTGCCCTCAGGTGGTCATGCAGCCCATCTCATCTAAGGATAGTTTCAGTGTTAAACCCTCTAATTTGATGCTAGAAAAGCATCTGTCTCCACCCTCAGTACCCCATTAGATTCTTTATTTGCTAACATTTCAAAGAATGTAATTTTTAATACAGGTGCCTGATTTTTATCTGCAAATACCCTTCAGGGCTTTTACAGTCATAAAAAGTGAGCATCAGTGTTAGCCTATCAACCAGGAAGGCTATTGGACTCCTGTGTATTTCCCGTTCTTGTATATTTCCAGTTCTTGTATTTTTCCAGTTCAGTTTTGGACAAGAAGTTTCCAAGTTTTGGCAAGCTAATATGTTCTGTGACCCTTCAGTGTTGTAAGCTCTCTTTAGAATAGGCACAGAAAGAAGAGAAGAAGAAAGAATGTACTGCTGAAGGAGGGTGTAGCTACACTAGAAAGGGCAGCAATGTGTAAATAACTGTTATCAGAGGTTCCTTTCCCAAGCTGTTTTGCTGAATGCTATTCATCCGCAGGCAAAACAAGCCAGTGCAACTCAGCCTGCCTATTTAAATGGCTGACTCTGCACAAAGCAAACAAGAAAATTGGTGTATAAGCTGCACCTAACTTCTGGTACAATCCACTGGGAGATGATTTAACTTGCCACCTTGCATCTCACTAGATGCAAATTTTGCACACTGTACAATCTAGAACAAAACTCCCATAACTCTTCTGTATTCTGCCTCAGGCATTAAATGGTCCTTGCCTTGTTAGGACTTTCAAAGTGCCTTTTCTGTAGCCATCTCTGTTGTTCTTTCTGGCTGAAGAATTTCTATGCTATGAGTCAACACTAGCCCTGTAGTGTTCTGTCTGTCAACACTGTACTTTATCCTAAAGTAAATATTAGAATAGCTCCATCTCAGTTGTTATTGAGGCTATTGGAGGGGGTCTGGTGCCCAGTCTAGCAAAGGTGGGAGAAAGCAGGATGAGACCTAAGATTTTCAGAGAAGCAAAAGCACTATTAATGCTAGGGGGGATGTCGTGCTAAAATAGCTGAAGGATGAGCATCTTGTAGCAACAGGAACCTGTGCCTGGCCTGAACTGGAAAAGTAAGATAGAGATCCTGTTGAGAACAGGCTCATTACAAGTGCTGTAAGAGGCAAGACAAGCCAATCCCACCATGTGTATTTCAGAAAGTAAAGCTTGACAGGATGAATTAAAAGAAAAAAACAACTTATTTCTGGGTGTGAGAGATTGTTTTGATTGGAACTTACAAAAGGAGCAAGTGTGTTGGTTGGAGGAACATTTTTGTAAGCTGCCTGATGTGTCCTGTGTAAGGCCTGGATTTTGCTGCTCTGTGGATGTAGATGAAGGGGGGAAAGAGAAAATATGTAGTTTAGTACTGAACGTTTGTAGTGAGGCTAGGCTTTGTAACTGCTGCGTAAGCATTGGATGAGGGGGTACGTTTAGGGCAGGGCTGTGTGTTTTCCCAGCCTGCTGAAGCTGCATGCTCTTTCGCTGTGCTTGGCTGATAATCGCCACGGGGTATGTTACCTTGAAGCTGCTGCTGTACGGACGCAGTTGTGCAAGTTCTGTAGAAGAGGCGGTTCAGTTCAAGTCGGGTGCCGCCTGGGTGTGAGTAAAGTCAGCCCACTTCTTCCTGCAGCCGTGGGGTCATGCCTGTTATCTCTGGGACACCTGAGACGACTGAAGCGGGTCGTGAGCGTGTGGGGCTGATTTCCAGTGCCCACGGGCTAAAGCGATGCTCCGTGTCTGCCCGTGCCCCG